CATTCTTATCAGATTCTTATAAGACTCTTATCAAACTCCATTCACTTTCCTGCGTAATCTTATATAAGAATTTGATAAGAATCAGGTAAGATTCTTATCAGAATTGCAGAAAATTTTTTGTCTAGGGAAAGTCAATTTTTCACTCATGACTTGATTTCTTGATGGGTTGGCGAACCGTCTCTTAAGCCTTTTTAGGCCTATCAACTGCCGTACATCTAGAATTTAATAATTGCGGAGAGTTAGAAAAGAGGTAATATAGATATCTAAATCGGAATACTCATCAGAGAGAAGTTTACATGTAGACAAAAGACTATCAAAATTAGTTAAAGCGTTGGAAATTTATCTTTTCTCTAACTTGTTGAATCGAGTGACATTGTAGAACATTTAAGGTAATTTTTTCACGCTTACCGCTAGAGTCGGGCATGCATCAGTTAGAAATGAAGTGTACTTTAACAAACATTTATATTTTGGACAACATTTGTTATAATGAAATTTTTGATGATATAGAATTATAGCATAGAATCAGCTGTACAAAACAATAGGCTAAAACAGAACTTTATATTACTTTAGATCAATCAATCATTTTATTGACCAATTAACTGCTGTTAGCGGTTTAAATATTAACTGGTCCTTCTTGTTAGTAAAATGATCAAATTCTCGTATCTAAAGGTAATATAAAGTTTTTCTGAACATATTATTTTGTAGAGCGGATTCTACGCTATAATTCCACATCATCGAAAATATTTGATCACAAACAATGTTGAAAATAAACATGTTTGTTAAAGCACACCTCATTTTTTTTCAGTTTTAACTGATGTACGCCTGAATAAGGTTTTTTTGTTCGCTTTAAAGTCCCCCACTCAGAAGTCCTAAAACTGAGCATTATATACAGCGTTTTCTCTACGTGGCGATAGAGTCACTGTGGGTGAATGCATTAATATAACAAGCACCAAAATCTGTATGATAACGCATTGCCTCACTTCTGTGCATATATCCGACATTCTTCCACTGTAGTTGTTCAAACACACTTTTGTGTCAGTGAATTTTCAGGCACTTAGTGTCCTCCAAAAAACTTGAATTTTATATTTGCCTCTTCAAAAAAGATGTAATGATCAGATCATGTAATCTAACCATTCTGAAAATGTATTTGATGCTTCTTCGGAAACACCTAGGAAGGAAAACATAATTAGGTCAGAGTGCACTTCGTTTAAAAAAAGTAATAGAAAACTTATAATTATCAGTCATAAAAGTTGATAATATATCATTGGTAGTCTCATTAGTTGTTTTTTTATTGATTAAATCGGGAACCTCACTTTTGGCAGCATCTGCAGGATGATCATGATCATATTTTGGTTGTTGAACAATAGAATCATCAACGTTTAAGATATGAATACGAACGTTAGATTTCTTTGACCAATAATCTTTACATTTCCAATATGTTTTTTCATGAGATTTGCTTTCAGTTACATATTCATAACCATTAAAGCGCAGTAAACGTTTGCCTTTAGTTGTTGATAAAAGACTGGCCGAACTTATTATGAAATTTTACTCTGCAGAAAATTGATGGTTCGTACTGTCCACTTTCAAAAAAACAGGAACAGGAGAGGATTTTTTCTCTTCGAAAAACAGGAAAGATGACCGTACATGTCAAACTTATATTTCTTTTTGTTTATCTGTCCAGTATTATTAGCCTTGTTTTCTGTCCTCTTCCTCTTTTTCAATACGTACAACAACACCATGTCATTTTGGTGTGAAACGACGAGCCGAAGACGAAGCAATAAGAGCACGCAATCTCCAGTTGTATGGTCACTTTAGAAGTAACTGCTAGAAAAGAATAAAACAGTTGATTTGAAAATGGTTTTGTGATACAATTTTTCTTTTTTGTTTGAAATAAAATAATAAAAGCGTTACTTGCTATTATACCATACGGAAACATAAAGGAACAGATGAGACAGTGCTGTGCTTTGTTACAATCTATTTTACGTGTAACTCATCTCTCCAAATAAATTTTCCAACAATTGATCATCGCGGTTTTCTGGAACCAGTCTTTCCGAAACTCTAAGAAGTAACCAAAACCTCAACAAAAAAAAAGAAACTTTGCAAAGAAAGGTCTTGTAGAGAGAGCTAGGAGAGGTGTCATTTTAATCAGAAATTTGCGGACTACAATAATGCCGCATTAAGAGAGGTTTTGGTTACTTTTTAGAGTTTCGGAAAGACTGGTTTCAGAAAACCGTACAGTTAAGGGCAGCTCCCATGATCATATTCGGAATCAGCATAGTGGATAATCCATACCCCACTAGATGTCGATCAAAAAACACTTTATCACCTCGAGAGGTTCCCTCGTAAGCATTAAGAATTGTTATTTGCGTCTAATCAGTATACTTGTACGAAAAAACCGTTGCCGTTTTCGAGAAAAGTCAGTTTTTTTCTAAGTCAGAAGATAAAGCCGGAATTCTGCCCGTGGTTCTCAATTTTCTCCATCAGAACTCAACTTTTAAGCAACAAAAATAGCATATTTGGGATCAGGATCAAAAACTGAGTCGACTGATGTGGATTTGTATCCTATCTGACTACTCTGTCATTTTTCAAATTTTCACGTTGAAAAACTCATTTTTCTGAAACCTATTTGTTTCGCTAGGTGTCGTAGGTATATAGAGTATCTTAGATATCTTAGGTATCTAGGATATCTACGTAGAAACCCTGGATACCTAAGATACCCTAGGGTCTTTAGGGTATCTTACGAATTTAGGATATCGTGCAATTACTTTTCGAACTCACTCTCAACCTCATCTCTCCCTCCTCCTCCCGCTGGCCAGGAATAGCCTTGTGTATGTGACGACGAATAAACCATTGTATTTGTGTCCGGTACATATATGTAATATAATTCGCTGCGAGCTGAAAATATGACTACTATAATTGAGTTCGCAGCGAACTGATATTGTGCATAGTATGAAAAATTGACTTTTCTCGAAAATGACTGAATATTTCAAAAAAAACGTCATGTACCTTTTTCCTACAAATATACTGATTAGAAATGAATGACAATTTTTAATCCTTACTCTTTCAATGGAAAAAACTAGATGCCTCTGCAAATTTGGCAGTAGCGCTTTTACGATTCTGCTCCTGTTCCATTGATTTGGTAGTCAGTTTCAATTTTAAAATTTTGGAAATCAGTTTTTTATACTAAATTTTCGATGGAGAATCAGAAAGAAACAGTTTGCAAATTTAGAAAAACAATAAGTATGAAAAAACCCACGCCGATTACGAAATTACTGATACACTTCACTCACGAACAAACGGGACCGTCCCATTTTAAAAGAGGAAAAGCATTATAGCTAAACGAAAAGTCATTTAAGTGGTTTTTCCAAAAAAGAGAAGCAGATAATCGAACCTTCATTCTAATAGAGGCAGTTTAACGTCAAAAAACAAAAAAAACTCAATGTTGACCCGAAGAAAAAGAACTTTTTCCGCCATACCGCAGATCTGCTGGTCGTGAAACAACAAAAAAAGATTTTGATTGTTCCGCTTTATTCTCGGTATTTTAGGAAATAGTTTCATCTTACTGGTCTGACAAACACTTAGTCGTTGGCGATGCTAACATTTCATTTACTTCTTCATATCTCTCATTTGTTAACTCATATGTTATTGAGTGAAGAACGTTGATGGAGCGAGGAACAGTTCAGTTTAGGATGCATCTTTACGTAGATCAACAGCAATTCCTTTCAATTTACTTTGTTGTTTTGGTTAGGCAAGTGTATATTATCAAACGTAATTGTTCTAATCGCTAGAAGAGAAGAACAAGCAGTATGCTAGCATAACTTTCGTTTAAACTACAGAAATCAGAATTAAGTATCAAAAAGACGCTTATATACTTGAATCGAACAATTGTCTTCAAATGATCGTAGAACAAACTTACGTACTGCTTGAGGAAAATCTGCTGATGAGTTCGTCTCGAAATTAGATGAGTGTTTTTTCCTCGCTTATAAATGTCAATAGATAAATGTGACGGCGTGACACACTTTTGTGTCAGTGAATTTTCAGGCACTTAGTGTCCTCCAAAAAACTTGAGTTTTATATTTGCGATAGATCTGATATTCTATCGACTTATGTGCAAAATAAAGTTGAAAATTTTTTCCAAGGCTTTTAAACTTGACTGGAACCTTGAAACATCGAAAAAGGGTAAGTTTTGTACCTAAAGTGAAATTGTTGAAAAAACTGATCCTTCAATACTACTTCATTGGTGATGAATTTGTTGTCGCATAATTCTACAGTTCTTTCAACGGTCGGAGACATGCTTGAAACAAGTTTAATGGTGAATGACTGGGTGTTTAATTCTTCGCATCTATCATGCTTTCGTGATTGCAATCCACAGACATGACCTACAGCTATACCATACAATATGATCTCGTCTCTTTTATCAAGACAATAATTGGCTTTATCGGCTATTGTTATTATTCTCATGCTAATTATACTGCTAGTTGTTGCACTTATTCGTGACAGAATTTGCCACCGATCATCACGAGCTCAAACTAGTGAAACTGATACAAGTTAGTAGTGTCAGGTCCAGAAAGTATATGACTGCCTTTCGGGCTGTAGTGGAAACCTAATGGTTCGAGATCTCTGGCTAACAAAGTCTATGCCCGAATAGATCACTGTTTTTGAATGAATGAGCGATCAAAAACTATGCACACTATGAAAAGCACACACCCTCTAACTCTGTTCGCACTTAACTGAAGTAGGAAAGAGGAACCAGCACATACATATAGCGTGCGAAAACGAATAATGTGGAAGGAACTGGAGAGAAGAAAGAGAAAAGGTCTAGAGATCGAGACCCTGGGTGCGCTGCGCCCAACAAGTAGGATTAAAAGTAGTTACTGAGCACTATCTTTATGTTCTGTTTCGTTTAGGTACATCTAATGTCGATTTCTCGCAACGTTTTTAATCATTTCTGCCAAGGACAAGAGAATTAGTCATTCACTTAAATTTATTCAAAGGCTGGGAAAAACAAACTGATCATGACCTGCGCAACCAAATTCTTTCAACACGTCTTCTCACCGGCTCTATGGTCGTTATTCTGTCTGTCTTCATTCTTTACACGTCGCTGACTTCTGTCATGAAAACTGCCACTGTAGAACAGCCAACAGTTGAGAATTACATGGATTTACATAGTGAATATCCACAAACACTTGTATGTCCCTGTACAAAAATTTCTGTTGAATACAAACAATTCATTTCATTCCAACCAACATATCATCAAGTATGTCAAAGTGATTTCATAGCAGTTAACTGGCAAAACTATCTTATATTTCCGAATGATTCGACAGCATTGTTTAAGGACATCGATTTTCGCGAAGTAGCTGCAGTTCAATCACTCCTAGTCTCAGCTTTCTGTAATTTATCATCAGAACGTATTAAAAATGATTTATTATGATTCAATTCAACCAAATATGTTCAATCATTAGACATATTCCAATTTAAAAGTGAAAAAGCTATCAATTTATTTAAACGTACAACTGAACAATCATTTCTGCAGTTATCCCAAGCAAAAACGACCCAATTTTTTGGGTTATCTAGATTCAGGTCCACGTGCATCTAGATGTACGTGGAGCTGAATCTAGATAAATAGCCCAGAAAATTGGGTTGTTTTTGCTTGGGTACTATCAATGATTAGACAGAGTGAAATAGTGAATAGTCTACTTTCAACTGAATTCACAGACTGGAATACTGCCTTAGTTGATAGTTCATCATACACAGAAGATCAACAGCTTTTAAATGTAGTATTTTGCCCAGCTTTATTCGACAGTACTATTACAGGTAATTCAAGTAGTGGTCCTTGTTCTTGTAAAACAAATCCACTAGTGTGCGGTCAATCAGTTAGTATTTTCATTTGGGTCAATGACTCAATACCTACAGCTCCATTTACTGTGCCTGGTTTCTTTTACGGTTGTTACTACATTGAATCATTGCTTTTATCTACAATGGAAAGTTATTACAATCAAACGTGTACAGCTACAATTAATAGGTTGATATATTCACTAGCACTCTATCCATTTAATGCTACAGCAATGTAGTGGTCAGCAAATACAACTCGCTACGAGATGACGACAACATTTGGTGAAATTGTTGAACAGTTAATGATTGAACAGTTGAATGAGCAAATATCGTTTGATTCCTATCTTGATGAGTGTGAACCAGAAAAGTGTGCTTACACCTACAACAAACAAGGTGATCTCGGTTATATGATAACAGCAATCATGGCGTTAAGCGGCGGACTTACAACTCTACTTAGAATTGCTGTATCATCTATAGTAGTATTCATCAGACGAAAGAAACGGCTAGCTGTAGCTCAAGAAACTGATAGTACCGTTGGTAAGTGTGAGTAATTCCACAAGGGGACGTTATACAAAAGTATGTGCCCAAATGATGAGAGACATATATTCAAACACAGTTTTGTACGCTGTGTAATAAAAACCGCAGGGCTTTGCAAAAAAAAAAAGTAGACGCGAAATATTTTCCCAGCGCAAATAACCCCAAAAGAAAGAATCTGCTAACGAGAAGATAGAACACTAGCATTTTCCGTGGAGCCTTCCTTTTGGTCTCAAACAACAGGTTGGATCAAATCTATCTAAATTCCAAAAGAAAAATCATGCTAAATCATTACATCTCCCGCAAAATAGGTTTTAGGAAAACCGGGTGTTGAAAAGTTAAAAGTCAAATTAGATTTTCAATACAGAACAATAGTTCAAGTTTTCCTCCTGGACATCGTAGAAGGCTAAGTGATATCTCATTTCAAAGGAAACTGAATGTGCTATCCGTTAATGGCCTTGAAAAGCATGTTGAGCGTTCCTGACGTCTGCCAAGGTTGCTGCAGAATCCCGACTGCCCAAATCCTGTCACTTCGACTCCAGTGTTCCCACATGGGTTTTCGCGTTGCTGAAACTCTTCTAGCGTAGAACTAAAACTACTGAGGTATGTTTTTTTCCGGCACCATCATCATCATTTCAGAAAGTCAACAGCCACTACCACAGCTGAGTCGTTCCCTGAAATTATTACGAATATGGCAATCCTTCATACTTACATTCAACTTATTTAAAAATCCAAATAAACGAACGCACGAGGACCGGAGACACCAACATCTATCGACACGTGTTTTCGTCATGCTTCTCTCCACTTCCTTAGTCGTTCTTCTGTTCTACATTTCATTAGAAATATTACGCAAACAATAACGTATAAGAGCATTCACTCTCACCCTTATAGCTCCAGAAGTGTCAAATATATTCCCGTTTATTCGACAGAAACAACTAAACTACACTCGAATGCTTATCATTATATTATCTGGATGGCAGAAAAACGCCTACGAAAGCCGAAAATGAAGTACAGTTATATCCGACAGCTGTTTCTCTCTCTGATAATGATGTAATACAGTCGTTCGGTAGCAGTATTCTTTGGTTATTTAAAAAGCCATATTCGAATGTGAGAATCTCTGATCGTATCTCGAGTGACCGAGCATGTAGATGGCAAACGATCTCTCAACCACCAGACAAGTTCATCCGTGTTCGACAATGATGACCGACTCCACTTGTCATTTTCACACCAGAAAGTCAACGCCTGCAGTTTGGGCAGTGCGTTAACAAGATCAAGTGCATTTGTTCGATCCTTCACTGCGATGTGAAGAACCTCACATTGAACTAAAAGTGATGAGCTAGCTAAGGTAGCACACTCCGAACTGTCATAGTATACACCAAGGTCTGGATTACTTGAAACGTTAAGCCGTCGAATCGACGCACTTCTGAATTTGAATTGTGCAAACTCAGACGCAGATTTGATATTAACGATTAACGAATAAAGACGAGGTGCACGATCAATTAATTCGTCTAACTGAGATTGATCATTATCTTTAGGGAGAGATATGTGCAATGAGGTCAAATGATCAAGCGTTGGAATGACAGACCAGAAATTATCATTCAAAGGAAAGCTGATATTTAGGTGTTGAACGATAGGAAAACAAACAGAAAGTAGGCTCAAATCAGTGTATAAATCATTTTTGTAGGAAATGTAATGAACATGATCATATGACAAATAGGCTGAATTGTCAGGACAAGTTGATTTCGATCGCCATCTCTTCTGATAACTAGTTGTAAAGCTGTCAAAAGCTAAGGGTAATGTGTAGAGATGATTATGATCGCTACGTGGATTCCAGTCACATCGGACAAACCATTGATGTTTAACAAGCCAAAAAGAAGTTCGAAATGAATCAAGTAGTTCATTGACTCGCTGTTCCCTTTTTCCACCAGCAGGAAAAGTGAAATTCATTTTAAGCCGGAGTACTTTGATGTTGGGGAGATGATTAACAATGATTTGTTCCCATTCATGTCCACTCAAGTAAATTGACTCTGTATCGAGCGTTAGATGGCGTAAATTAGGCATGCTTTGGAAAATATTTGTCATTGCACATCTTGAACCCAGGAATGAGAGTTTCAATGTGGTATTGATGGAATGGCTTTTGAAAACTGTTCATGAGAAGGACTGGATTGGGTACGTATACAAAAATGTCGAATATGCGGTGTATAGTCAAGTAAACGACCCATTCTACTCATAAGACAATCATTACACTGAATAGACAAATGTTCGACAGATGGTGAGATCACTTTTGGGTTAGGGAAAAAATTATATTGGTGTTCACCATATAGCTTGCAATGAGTGAGATTAGGCAGACTCCAAATGTTGTTGTAAAAGCTGGTTGCATGTTTTTTAACTAGCGAATTGAGCGTGCAAAAATAAGCGTTTATAACGCTCAGACGAGTGAGATGGGGGAGACAATAGCAGTCAGCTATGATTTGGCTCATAGTTTCCACCGAACGAATGTCATAAAATGAAAGCGATCGTAAATGGGTAAATTGACAAAGATTGATACCATGAGAAATAAAAAGATTCAGTTGATTTGGAGTCGCATCGTTTTCCGACAAACGAAGTGAAATGACTCGATCGGCAATTAATGGAAGAGGGTGTCGACAAAAGGTACCAAAATTCTTCTTTGATATCGATCGAAAATCCAGATGATAGCGTCGGAAATGGATCAGCAGAAGACTGTCGAAACGAGAATTGAGATTGCAAAAAGCATGAAGCAAATGAACACCGTCGCAGTATTCGAATAGATCAAGTAATAATTCGTTGACCAATGATTCCAACTTCATTTTGCATTAACCCTCAACAAGATGCAATGAGCCTTTTATAAGAAAATAACGACAAAAAATGCGTTCCGTATCCATTCATCATACCCTTTCTTCGAAGTTCTAATACTGCGTCTTTCCTGTCATGATGACGTTTGGCAAACAACCAAAAAATGTTTTTTTCTCTCCAACATATTTCTTTCCTCTCATTCGAGGTATTGTTGTGTGTGTAAGAACGAGAAATCTCCATAGGAGATGTTTGCTTCTCGACATCGAAATGCATTCGAAAATGTTACCAAAGAAATGCATCATTTCATATTGATGACTGACTTGATTGCTAACGAAAAGAAAGACAAGAGATCGAATGTTAGGTTTGAATACATTATGAATAGTTGACGTAAAATAGAGCAAATCTCAGTTCTCTATGTACAATTACAAACCGATTAGAATCGCTCGTGGCCGTTACGCATGATACAGTCGGCAGAGAGAAAGAAATGATGTCGTAGAGAGAGAAAGAACGCAAACACACAGAACAGAGTGATGTCTTCATTAAAGAGCCGCGCCGTTCTCTCAGTCAAATAGTCACTGAAGCTGCTTAGAATATCAAAAACAACGTAATATGAGAGTGATAGACTTAATAATTATATTATTCGATGTTCTTTCGCAGTTACGTACATATAAAGAAGTACACTGCTTACATTCATTTTTGATTTTTTGTTGCCAACAATAGATAGTTCCTTTGCTTCCGAACGGTTATTAGAACTTTGCGTGTAATTGTGATGTCTATGCTATCCAGGAAATATCCATGTCTTGTAACAGATATTTTTGTGTCTTTCAATTACCTTCTTACGTATGATTCAATCTTTGTTAAAATGTTATTTCGTCAAACAACCCTGCACGAATGAAAGAGAAGAAAATTATGCATCTTTTCTCTTAGTTTTTTTTCTTTTCTCTTACGTTGGCGCGATATCATATCGGCAATATACAGAACAGGCAAGAAAGAATGAGCTGTGTGCTGTCTTCTCTTACTGCTAGGGTATTGAAGCCTTTCGCTTTTCTATCATTAGAAAAAATACTTTTGTTATCTTAACTTAATTGAAGCACGCACTTGAATGAATAAAGAAAAACCGCGAACAGATGTGAAGAAAAGAAAAAAACATACTAAATGGAAAGAAAAAGAAAAAAAGAAGAGTGTACTATCGCTCTAATGCTAGAAAAACAGAGAAAAAAAGAAAGCACAGAGACTAGGACCTGGAAATGTCGAGGTCTCGCAACAGATATTTTTCTCTCTTTTCATCTCTTTCATTCGTGCAGGGTTGTTTGACGAAATAACATTTTAACAAAGATTGAATCATACGTAAGAAGGTAATTGAAAGACACAAAAATATCTGTTACGAGACCTGGACAGCACGGACATCACAATAACCACCATTTCTTTCCATCGTAACTGCCAACAGTGTTATGTCCGTTAGTCGTGTCTTTCCGGAGTCGCATCTCAAAGACTCGTCTGCCGCTCAATATGTTCCTCTATCTATACTGGACTCAACCGTCGGCAATTTCGCTCCCACCTGCGCCACCTGGATATACGATCCACCAAACGCCAAGCACACACTATCAACACAACAACTCCTGCTTGCCTTACAGAGAACCCTCAATGCATATCCTCATTGGGCCGGTCAGCTACAGCTAGTACATTATAATGCGACTGGAGATCATACCCAGCGTTTCGGGCGTTTGAGCGTCTTGTACGGTATTCAATCGGATCCTGGCGTCGAGGTAATTATCGCACATCGTCCGGAAACCATATCATCTTTCGTACCCACTGCGACGCAGCGTACAGCGGATCCTGGATGGTGGAACGCTGCACAAGCGCCTTTGCTGGAACTGGTTCCGGCTTCTTCGCCACTGGCGCTGCACGATCTAATTCACTACGAAGGTCTTCCGGCAATGATGGTTCAGTTCACAACCTTCGGATGCGGTGGGTTAGCCACCTCAATTAAACTCGCGCATCCACTGGCAGACGCACAGACACTAATAAATTTCGTACATGACTGGGCAGCTGTCAACCGCGCTTTGATTACCGGCGAACAGTTGCCTTCATTATGTCCACTTTTCGATCCTGGCCGACTTGATCGAGCTGCATCAGGCAACATTGATGCGCCAGAGCCAGATCCGAGATTGATTAAAGTTGCTCGTGATCTTCCTCTGCACTATTACGACTTGTGGGCTTCATCTGATGACTGTCCTCCGTCTATGGCACAGGCCACCAAGATTCCAGCTGGACTGAATACTAGTACTATAATACAGGGCAATCCCTTACCTTGGTTAGAGTGGGATCACAGCGCACCCGTATCTCATTATCTCGTGAGCTTTACTGCGGATGAACTGAAGTCTATGTGGGAGGAAGCTTCATCGGACTCAGAAGTGCCAATTAGTCGACTAGATGCTCTTTTAGCACATGTATGGATACTTATTATTCGAGCTCGAGGACTATCGCATGATCAACAACCAATCTACCTTGACGTAACACTTGGAGTCAGATCTCGACTTTCCTCACCTCTACCCGAAACTTTTGTCGGTTCACCGATCATGCTTGCCAAAGTGACAACTACTGGCGTACAGTCCATCGGAAAAATAGCTCTATCCATCCGCTCCACCCTCTCAAAATTCAATTCATCCAGCATAGCCGCAATGTTACATGATTTTGCTTTTGAAATCAGCCCTCATAGGTTATGGAATGCCTTTCTTGGTCGTCGGAATACTATTGTCACTTCATGGCTGCGTTTGAATGCTTATGGAGTGGATTTTGGGACAGGCGAACCTAGATTTGTGGATGCCTTTATGCCTAATGTGGATGGCTGTGTGCAACTCATGGAGAATGGAAATGTAGGAGATACGAAGAAGAGCAATTGGTATGATGGAACCGTGAACGTATCTTTGCATCTTAGAACGGATGTGATGGAGAAGTTGCTTGATGATCCGGAGCTTAGAAAGTATAGAAATAATATCAAAACGTATTGAACCGAGATTATTTTTTGAATATTTCCATCTGTCGTATTCGAATAAATACCATCAACACAAGAGATTATTTGTAGAATCAAGGTTTTATAGAGTATGTTTAACACGTGAACAGAAAAAATATTTTTTACAAGCTTAAACATACCAAGGATCTTATTACAGCGACTTAATATATAGTCTATATGGTTATTCCACGATAGATTATATGATAAGATGATGCCTAAATGCTTACGTTGCAGAACTTCTTCCAACTCGACTCTGTTTATTTTTATTTTATTATGATGGTTAAGGTTATTCAGAAAGTCATTGTTTTACATTTATCAATATTTAGCTTGATTTTTCAAGTAGTACGCCTCTTGGAGATCATTTCTAGATCTCTGGTCAATTGTTCACCCGCTAGCATCATACTTTTATTCGTAATAAAGAGTAAAACATCATACGCAAAGAGGCGTAACTCATACTTAATAATGATCGTTCCGCCTATGCATCCAAAATCGTCAGTGTAAATTAAAAAAAGAAGTGGGCCCAAGATACTACCCTGTGGCATGCCGCAATTGATTTTCTAAATATCAGATGTTGCTTCCTGAACAAAAGTGCAAATACTGCGGTCGCTTAGATAACTTGTGAACCAATCGAGCAACATCCCGGAGATACCTTTACATTTTAACTTGTAGAGCAGTCCTGTTATCCATACTTTATCGAAAGCTTACGATAAATCAAGAAATACAGCTCTAGTTTGGTACTGCCTATCGAAACCTAATGCTATATGATGAACAATATCAATCAATTGTAATACAGTTGAGTGCCGTTTCCTGAATCCAACTTGAGAAGATGAAAGAAAATTGTTAGCGGTAAGATGTTCATAGAAGTGATTATGAATAAGCCGCTCTAGTACTTTGAACATAGCAAGCAGCAACGTTATGGGGCGGTAATTCTCGCAAAGGTGATGGTCTCCTGACTTAAAAATAGCTTGTACATAGCCTCTTTTCCAAATATCTGGGAAGAGCCCGTTTTTAACTGATAGGTTAAACAAATAGGCTAGGGGAAAACACAGAACAGCTGCACACTCCTTAGCGATTCGGTTAGGAATACCTGGAACAGTAGCTTTGAAAGAAGACAAACGCAGCAGAACTTTTTTAACATTAAAAACAGAAACATTTATTATACTTAGTTTCTTGGTCGGGATAGGTATTTTTTGTGTTATGTTATCATTCTTTTCTTTATCATCTAAAGTACACGCAGACGAGAAATAATTATTTAACAGGTTCGTTTTATCAAGTCTATCTGTGACCAAAGTGCCTGAGGAGTCCTTCAGAAGACGAATAGACGAGTATTATTTTTATGGACTGTTTTAAATACTGCAGTCCACCACGCTCGAGTGGAAACATTTGGTGAAGAGGTTATTTTCTGAATATAGTTTTGTTTAGCGTTTTGACAAGCAGTTCCAAATTCAGTTGAAGCAATATGATATTTGTCTCTACTAATATCGCTATCAACCTTTCGTCACTCTTTATATAATCGATTTTTCCTGTTATATAATTTACATAGGTCACTCGTGAATCAGAAGTATTAATACCGATGAGCTTATTTGGGATAACGGAGTCGACAAGTTGAAGAAGATGTTGCTCCAGAAAGAAAACTTATCAATAACATTTCAGTTTTGCAGCAGTGTTTCCCAGTCCCTAGAAAAGTATTTTTCTGAAAGCAAGCCCCAGTCAGCTTCTCTAAACACGTAAAGTTTCCTCTGGCAGTGCGGAGTCATGACTTATATCCCAAACGGGATATTTATCCCGATCGGGCTATACGATTATCCCGATTGGGCTACAAATCCTGATCGGGATATAATCAAGATTCGAATCGGGATATATATCCCGTTCGGGATATCGTTGTATCCCGATCGGGCTATATTACTAAACATGTTCAAAAAGTATTGAAAGTAATTATGATCAGCCGCTAATCGTCTTAAGTGAGACTTAAAAGTCTCTTTCAGTAAACTAAAGTAATAACATGTGAAATGATCATTCTAGAAATTTTTTAATTTTTTATGAAAATAGTCAAAAATTAAAAAAATTTTCCAGCACCACCTGGAAATCCAATTCGTAAAAGCCCTCATATGTCAAAAGATGCAGTAAAGCCTGCTCTACAAAATGCTGAAAACTGCAGGTCTCTATCTCTCTTCATTCTGGAGTTATTCAAACAATAGCCACGGAC